TTTTTGACCTTATATTTAAAAAAAAACTTTTTTAATAGTGAGGGACATTTGAATTATATCCTCACCTTTAATTTAGGAACCCATCTTTATGTTGTGCTATTGATTATTATATCTTATCTTGTAAGTAAAAATATAATAAATATAATAAAGCATGATAGCTATTTGCTCTTTTCAAAAAAAAAAATAATAATAATAAAATAAATTAAATTCAAGATCTATAAAAATAATTAATATAGAAAAAATATATACAGTATATAGTTAGAACAAAATTATTTAAACATATAAAAAAATAAAATAAATTGTAATTATATTTTTATTGTCCCATGTAACAAAAAAAACAGATATTTTAGAATGATAAAAAATAAATAAAAAGCAATCTCTACAATTAGCACACATTATACATGACTACTTAGTAATACTTGTAACAAGTATATTTGTAGAATAGATCTTTTTAGAAAGTAAAAATTTAATTACAAAAAAAAATTAATTATTAAGTAAAATAGCAAAAGTATATATATATTTAAAGTTATAATATTAGTAAATAATAATTGAAAATTTTAAATATATATAATATAGTTATATTTATATATTTAATAAATATTATAATATTGCTAATTCTTTTGCCAATCCAAAAAACAGACATTTTCGAGAAATTTTATATTTCTCTATAATAAAGTCTATATAAACTCTCTAATAATATATTCAAAGACTTTAGTCTTTTTCTACTTGTTTCTCTTCTTCTTTGACATAAACTTTTTGTATTTCTACAAATAAATATAAGAAAAATCTAACTATAATATCAGGAAATTTTTTAGCAAAGATCTCCAAAAATCTTTGGGCATAGATCTCCGGAGGACCTCTGTCATCATTAAAAGACTTCAGAGCAAAAGTTACTATATTAAACTCTGGAGATCTTCAATTTATTTTAATAATAATAAAATATATTTATATTCACGTATTATAATCTATTAATATTCAATTTTTAATGTTTATTTTATTGACTTTTAAAATTATTTATTATTATATAATGCTTGTTTACATTTATTTATTTGATTAAATCTTCGCTCATTGCCGAAGTCCTTTTCTCTAATTCTCTATTTTCCAGTAAGTGTCCCAGATCATTTTCAGTATTTTCGCATTTCTCCGGATTATCACTTATAGTAATAATTTGTCACTCAATTATTTTTTTATCTTTGCTACTTGAAGTTTCTTCTTTGAATCTGAGTCCTTTTTTAATTCTCTCCTAAAATATTATTAGCAATAATTTATAAACTTCGAAGATTTTTAAAAACTTATCTTATTTTTTTCTACTTTGCTTTTAATTAACGTTTCATTTATCGAAATACTTTTATTATTCAGATTAAGAATTGTTTGACATATTGCAATGGTGAATGCCACTTGTTCCTCGGAGGCATTTTTTTTTGACCAGACTTTTTTGAGAATACGGGCTATCATGCTTTGTATCTCTTCTTTTGGATATTTGTGAAGATTATCAAAGCATTCAGCAGTCTTCTGAGATTGTTTCAATTGTGTAAATATCTTGAACTTTTAAAAATTAAAAATTAAAATTTTTTTGCTCTATAAGATTAATTAATATAAAATGGTAAAAGTCTATAATTTCAAAATATCAATTAATTTGAATTGTAAATTTTCTGATAAAAAATTAGTTAATTACAATATTAAGCTCAAATATTATGTAATATAATTAGAAATAGATATAAAATCATGCAATTTATAAGTTAAATGATTCGATAGAATTTATAATAAAATTTTCAATTATAATAAATATGTACATGCATATGAAATATTTTATTGAATAATATTTGATTAAAGTCTACATAGAATTAACTTTTGAGTAAACTTGTAAATATGCACACAGAAAAATGAAGCGTATTGCCTAATCAATGAATAATTTCATGATCTAAACTAAAAAACTTTAACTCTTGCAAGTAGAAGAGCAATATCAGATCTATTCAGAGAGATCAATTCTTTTTATATTAAAATTGAGAATTTTATGATGCAGAAAAAAAAAAATAGAAAGTTGTCTTTTGAATGCATTTTTGATAACATTGACTAAGATCTATTCCCATGAATCATCAAAGATTCTATGTTTTGCTTTTCAAATTAGTCTAAATTTTGCACATTCAAAAAAGTACGAAGCAAGTAAATTTTAGAAGTTATGAATAAAATTTCGTTGGTTAAAGGAACGGCTATAATTGTCAAAATAAGTATTTACATTAGAAATCTTAACCTCGTGCTCATATCACCAACAAATGAATCGAGATACTTACATTTTCCATTGTGTATTGACTAAACGAGATCTCGTCGCCTTTGTCAATATGACGCATAGCAGCCAAAATACGTAACGTTGCCGGCGATGCATCGTCCAAGGTGTCTTCTGTTATCAGTTTCGATGACCTCCTATGCTTTCCCTTTTCGATATTAAAATATCCGGCTATTCCCTCAGTTTTGTTAGGAGGAGTCACGTGTTTCCGAGTAGATGAAAGAGCGAGATGTCGAGTCGTTCGAATATTCATCGAATCTCTCATGGTTTTCCTTTTAACCTGTTGGAAAGAGTTTGGTAAAGGTGAATTAATCGTCATATCGTCCTCATCGTCGGTGATTACGATTATCTTGTTTTTACAATCGTCCGTGTCGTCCGATAACACAACAATTCCATTATTGTTGTAAGGGGTGAATTTCGAAGAATTTGTTGACTTTAAAATGGCGCGGTTGTAATTATAAGGAGTAACTTCTGCTGAAGTAACCATCGCATCGTCATCATCATCAACAATAGATTTCATGACAGCGCTGTCGCAATGTTTTTCTGACTTCGTCGGAGAATGGGCACTACCGTGTCTAATACCCATATAACGAAAATAGTTAGTAATAGGGGTTTCAGACATTCTACTCAGAGGACTCGAAGGAGGGCTTTGATCGGATGAAGATGGAGAATTGGGCGCGGAATCAAATTCCTTTTTTAATAAGAATGGAGGAGTATTTTCTTTCGCGAGTTCGACGAGGGTTGAGGATTTGGTACGACGAAATTTTCCAAGTGATATTCGGGATTGTTGAGTTTCCTTCTCCTGGGTGGAGTATCCACAACAACGTGATCCATACTTTAATATCTTGAAATAGATCGAAATAACATAACGCAAAATGAACTTACTTTCTCAGAACGAAGAAGTTTCCCGTTTACACGCTTTTTTCCTGAACTTGATCTTGTGGATTTTTTTGCACTTTTTCGAGTCTTTCTATTATTGGTGGGAGTGGAATGCGAATCTTTTTTGTAACAGAGAAAAATTTTTCAATAGATGCTAATTGAAATTTGTAATTCAAAGAATCTTATTGCGATGACCGCATACCTGCAGTTCCCATTTTTCTCCAAATATCTTTCAATGATTGGTATTCCTGATTCGATTTCACCGGGGAAGAAATATTTTCTACGTTTGTCTTCGTTTCATCAACGTTTGGAGTTTCTGTTCCAAAGAATTAGAAAATCAGAGAATCGAGCTAACGTAGTAATGGCGGCGAACCAAACACACTTCCGAGTTAAAAATGGTTATATCTATATCATTTCTACCAGGTTTCATTCTTTCTTGGGCCAATTCCAGAAGAGCCGCCATTTTCTGCTGGAAATTTTCCATGTCGAGGGAATGACCGAAATTCAGCGTAGGAGGATAGTTTTCAGAAGACTGAGATTTTTTCGATTTTTCGTTTCTAAAGTTGGCGGGGAAGTCGTCGACGAAATGTAAACAAGACAGTTAGCGAGTTATGCTGCGGCTCGACAAATATGATCGATCGATTATCAAATTTTGATGTTTTGATATAGGTCACATGAATATACTGTATATCGACGATCACATATTACATGATCAATCTGCGTTGTCAATTATTTTATACAAAGGCGGTTAAGACAATCTGTTGTCACACTGTGTGTATTCTAAACAAAAATTAGGTGCTCGCTTGTATTACAAACATCTCATTATTTAGCGTCACAAACCGGAAGGGATTCATTTAATATGGTCACATTTAACATACACATGACGTTGGATCCTCACTCAATTTACCAAACCGTGAATTGAAAACTTGTCGGTTGTTCATTCTTGGTTCCTTTACAAATGCATGCATGGACGCATACATGCCATATACAGATTTGGCGCTATCTTTTTTCCAGCGACAGTTAATGCAGTTTTGCATAAGCGTACTGTTGATAAATTTAAGACGTTCATCTATCATTATATATTGCATATGGTATGATAAAAAATCATTATATTAAAAGATTTATAAGTATGTGTTTCTGGTATTTTCATGAACCATGAGATTCTCGTCTCAACATTTATTAGCGATAGTCATATAAATTATTATTATTGATTCAACTTTCTTTCTAAACTTTAATAATAAAAAAGAAATCAAAATGAGATCTTCAGACCCATTATTGAATGATAGAGGTAACAGAAGTCAATATGGCGCTATCGCTATAGAGGGCACCACTTCCTATCCTACGACGGTAAGAAACGCGGGAAGTACTGCGAGGGATCACTTTGGTAATTTAAATTATTCATTTTCATCTTGTTCAACTAAATTACATCTCTCATAAACCAACTTTCCATTACTATTCATGTGATTATAGCTCTCGAAAGGAATTTCTTGTCCTGGCTACGCACGTGCCTGACTTTAACGGTGGTTGGCTTTTCTACTTTCTTTCATTTCCATACATTCCTTAATAATGATGAAAAAGATCTAGAAATTGAGTGTACAATAAGCGTAATGTTGATATACGTTGGAATATTAGTCCTCATATGTGCAACTATAAGTTACTTTCGATTGCATTCCAAGTTAATCAACAGATGTGTGAAAGTCGAAAATGGAAAATTGGAATTTTGCAACGCTTTCACGGTTGGCGTGACAATGACCATGGTGATATTAGCATGTTTTTTCTGTAGTGAACTTAAAGAAGAAGCGGGTGATGGATTCTTTTGAACTTCATCTTATAAGAACTCTCATAGATTTAAATTATGTAAAAATAATAGAACAAAACAGTGTAAAAATTTCATTAATTACATTCTTTTTGCGTATATTATTTGTATACGCGAATTTAAACAGGAAAGCAATTTACTGTGGAATGATTTCAAAATGCCACATGACCCGCTTGATTATTACGTGAAAATGCGTTTCAGAGTCTATAGGTGGCTGAACTGACTAACTATAATTGACCAGATGTTTTTGGGCGAAATGTAAGATTCATAATTTAAAGTTCCGATCGTTCCTTTTTACTAAGCTCGTTTGTGTAAACAATAAATATCCTGGTGTATTATTATATAAACCATACATGTGATTCAACCATTATTGATCGACAATACAAATATTGAATATTGATCAGAATGCAAATACAATATAATAAAAAAAACAAGTTTACTTATAATCGTTTAGTCTAAAATATATACGTAATTGGAAACAAAATTTTCAAATATTCTTTATTTCTTTTAAAATTTTATTTTACACAGAAAAGGTTTTTTTTGTTCAAAGTATAGAACTTAAAGAAAAATAATGAATAAAAAAGTAATCATTTCTATACTTTTCAATATTTAATAATTTCTATAAAAAAAAAATTTTTTTTTTAAATTATTTAAATAAATTTATAATATTATATATTTTAATATTTTTAAACATATAGTTAACTTGAAATTGTTGATTTTTTTTTAAAAAAAAACTAAAAACAAAAAATTATTATTTTAATAATTAATAAAATAAAATTAAAAAAATTTTTTATAATAAATATGCAATAATATATAATTTTATTAACACATTGTATTTAAATAGACATTAAGTGCCTTCTATATATGAAGTTTTTTTTTTTTTTTTTTTTTGGGTTTCCCCTGTAGGTAAACATCATTTCTTTATTTGATTTGTATATAATATAGTATACATCGTGAAAGAAATAACATCTCTTTCATTATTTCAGGAAAGTTTAATGCTAGCTTGCCTACTTAGTCGATATCTAACTAATATTGTAAAAC